CACCGGTGTCCAGTCTTTCCTTGGAAGTGCATCTTTTTCACCCAGAGTGAGATTTTCGAGTCCTGGCACCCTAGTTGTTGTTAAGAGGTATCTTTTGTCCACTGGTGCTATCTTGTCTGTGTGTTAACGTATCAACAAATTTCCCCTAGGGTATTCAGCAGTTCCATAAATGCTCTTTCTTTCTTTTCTTTTCTTTTCTTTTTTTTTTGAGACAGAGTCTCACCATGTTACCCTTGAAAGAGTGCCATGCTGTCACAGCTCACAGAAACCTCCAACTCTTGGGTTTCAAGCGATTCTCTTGCCTCAGCCTCCCACGTAGCTGGGACTACAGGTGCCCACCACAATGCCCAGCTATTTTTTGGTTGCATTTGTCATTGTTCCTTAGCAAGCCCTAGTTGGGTTCAAACCTGCCAGCCTGAGTATATGTGACCAGCACCCTACCCATTGAGCTATGGGTGCCACCCATAAATGCTCTTTCTGAATGCAGCCCCATTTCTCTCTCTCCTGCAAATCAGGAAGCTTCTGGAAAAATCACCTGTCCTCATGACCTTTCTTTTATTTTCTTTTTAAGACAAAGTCTCCCGATGTTACCTTGGGTAGAGTGTTGTGGTGTCACAGCTCACAGCAACCTCCAACTCCTGGGCATAAGTGATTCTTTTGCCTCAGCCTCCCAAGTAGCTGGGACTACAGGTGCCCACCACAATGCCTGGCTATTTTTTGGTTGCAATTGTTGTTTAGCAGGCCCAGGCTAGGCTTGAACCCGCCAGCCTCAGTATATGTGGCTGGCCCTCTACTCCCTGAGCTACAGAAGCAGAGCCTTCTTTTTTTTCCCCCCCTGAGAGAGAGTTTCAATATGCCACCCTGGGTAGAGTGCTGTGGCATCACTGCTCACAGCAACCTCAAATTTTAGGCTTAAGCGATTCTCTTGCCTCAGCCTCCCAAGTTGCTGGGACTACAGGTGCCCGCCACAACTCCTAGCTATTTGTTGTTGTTGTTGTCATTGTTGATTTTAGCTGGCCCAGGCTGGGTTCGAACCCGCCGGCCTCAGTGTATGTGGCCGGCACCCTACCCACTGAGCTACGGGTGCCACCTGTCCTCATGACCTTCGATGTTCATGCATCCATGGGTGACCCTTCTCCCTCTCTGCACTTCAGCCATCCAGGGTCCCTAAGACCTCGTAGGTAAAGTGTGTTACTGAGAGACCAAGCAATTCTGCCTGTTCTCAGGGACTCCTGGCCTCTGCCTAATTTAGGAGTTGGCAATTCTCCTGAAGAAGTTGCCGACGTGCCCAGACCGATTGGGTTGGAAGCTTGAAATAGTTGAACGTCTAATTTTTCCAGTTTTATTACTCTCCGCAGAGGCCCATTTCATTGACAGCAAGTGAAACCTTGCAGTGCTAACTAGGTGTCAGTGTCCACAGATATAATCCAACTCTGACCATTGAAATGAGTGAGGAAAAAAATGATCTACTGAGGTATTTTTCATGCCTTTTTCTTGCCTGTCCCGTTAGAAATATTTTAACAATCTTCTTAGGATCCAACAACCCTAAAAGTCCTTTTCCCCGTAGCTCTGCTGGGATTTTTTTTCTTCTTCTTTCTGGAGGATCTATTTCAAATTGCCTAAATATAAAATAAGTAGATAGTTACACAGATGGAATTGTGGCTCGGTAGGCAAACAGACTTCCTCAGCTTAGCTGGGAATGTTGAACATGAAATGATTCCTTTGACGCAGGTGGATTGCCAGAGCTCACAGGTTCGAGACCAGCCTGAGCCAGGGTGAGACCCCGTCTCTAAAACTAGCCGGGTGTTGTAGTGGGCCCCTGTAGTCCCAGCTACTCTGGAGGCTGAGGCAAGAGAACTACTTGAACCCAAGAGTTTGAGGTTGCCATGAGCTAAGAATCCACGGAACTCTACCAGGGGTGACTAAGTGAGACTCTGTCTTTAAAAAAGGGGGTGACTGCTTTGGGGACCACTGGGTGATTCCCCCAACTCAAGTGCAGCTCAGCTGCTGGAGTTTCAGGCAGATGTGACAGAGTTCCACAGGCTGGGCAGCTTAAACCACAGACATTTTTTCTCTTATATTCTGAAGGCTGAAAATGTGACATCAAGGTGTCTCGGGCTGGTCCCTCCTGAGGCCTCTGTCCTTGGCATGTAGACACTGTGTTCTACTTGTGTCCTCATGGGGTTGTCCCTCTGTGCGTGGCTGTGTCCTCATCTCCCTTTTTCTAAGGACATCAGCGCTGATAGATCAGGGCCCACCCTGGCCACCTCATTTTATCTTAATCACCTCTTAAAAGGTCCATGTTCAAGGTCAGTGACATTCTGAGACACCAGCTCAGGAATTTGGGGAAGACATAGTCAGCCGGTAACACCTGTCAGTCCTAACAGTTCCATTTTTGTCCCCGTGAACAGTTAACAACATTGGTGCCCACAGTTATCCGTTATTGATTACTTTGATGTCCAGTCAGATCATCTTACTCTCCCTTCTTTATAAGTCACATGGGACCTTCTCCCGGGGCTTGGAATCCTGAAATAACTGCTGCTAAGTCTGAGGATAAAAGAAAAATTCTGAGTGTCTCCTGTGCTGCCTTCTCCCCTGACCAGTCTCTGTGTATCCATCCTGGTTCTTGGGCTGCAGATGCTGTATCTGACCTCTGATCGCCACCTTTCGCCTCTGCTCACAAATTTTTTCTTTGCCAAGTTACCTCATCTGTTCTTGCTTGTTATTCTTCATTTTGTTTGCTGTCTGAGGTGGGAGACAGGGCTTCTTCTGAGGGCTTTTGTGAGCTTTGCCGTCACAGGTGACCTCAGAGGACCAGTTAATTAATTAAGTAATCATCAAAACCCTGTTTGATTTTTATTTTAGTTTATTTTTGTCTGAAGCGAATTTCTGAGATGGGGTGAGCATTCATGGTGGGACACATGTACTGCACGTCTCATTGTTCCAGGAAAGATGGGAGCTGTGTCGATTTTTGTTTATTGATCCATTGGTGGGTTGATTGATAAGTTCTTTTCAGCCTGTTAACCCCTTGCTTTAGGTGTCCTTTGAGAACTGCTGGCCTAAGGACTCCCTTTCCTGGAGAATTTACAGTATTGAAACCATTTATTCTTATGGCTGCTGGTTCTCACCCAGATGTAGGCGTCTGAGGGTAGAGATTGTACCTGGTCAGCCCTTGGACACAACACCTCACACGCAGCTCTGTGCACAAGACACAGATAAATGGTATCCAGAGCGTGCCAAATAATGTATACCTATTTTAAGAAAGAAAAAAGAAACTGTATTAAAATTGTAATACCCACGTTACCTTTGAGTTCTTCAATTACAAGAGATACAACATACAATGTAACAAACGTTATGAGTATATACAGAGTATTCCAATTTTAACACAGTTTTTCCCTTTCTTAAAACGTGTGTACATTTTTTTGGTGGCCCCTGTGACGCTGTATGAGCTGTGATGATGATGGACAGATGGCGGGTAGGCAGGTGGATGGAGATAGATAAAGGACAGACGATGTTAGGTGCACGATACACAGATAATTAATAGATGATGTGTGGATTATAAGGAGGGAGATGATAGATCCCTTTCCCAATACATAGATAATAGACGTATGGATAATTCAGGGATGGTAAGTAGAAATAGATCACTGGATGGAGGGATAGATGATAGATTGCTAACTAATTGATAGGTGATAGATATACAAGATAGGATGATAGATAGATGGATAGATATACAGGTAGTTAGTAGATGCTAGTTAGATAATGGACACAGACAGATCTAGATAGTAAGATGCATAGATTAATAGATATCAGGGGAGTTAACAAAAAGAAGATAGTGGATAGATATAGAGGTGGATAAAAATAGATGGATAGATACTGGATAGATAATAGAGGTAGGTAATAGACAGATCTATCTATCTATTATCTATGACTCAGGGGTCCTCAAACTATGGCCCGCGGAATATGGGGAAAGGGGAGGGGGGGAAGGATGGGTGGAGGGAGGGTGATTGGTGGGATCACGCCTATGGTGCATCTTACAAGGGTACATGTGAATCTCTCTAAATGTAGAATATAAATGTCTTAACACAATAACTAAGAAAATGACGTGAAGGCTATGTTAACCAGTTTGGTGAAAATATTTCAAATTGTATATGAAATCAGCACACTGTACCCCATGACTACATTAATGTAAACAGAGATGATTTAATAAAAACAAAAAATTACGGCCCACGGGCCACATGTGGCCCACCGAGGGCATTTATCTGGCCTGCCGGGTGTTTTTGCTGCCACTGCCCGTCCTGCTTAGCAGCCGAGTCATCCCGGGACCCGCAGTCTGGCCCTCCAACAGTCTGAGGGACAGTGAACTGGCCCCCTGTTTAAAAAGTTTGAGGAGCCCTGAGTATGTAATAGGTACATAGGTGATGGATAGATAATAGAGGTAGGTAATCAGATAGATAGATAGATAGATAGATAGACACATACATACATACATACATACATGGGACAGGTAGATGTATTTTACTTTGTAAATTTGAGTCCTGCAATTTGAGTCTGTAATCGTCACTTGCTATGGAGGTACCAGGAATTCTCTTTCCTTCTTGATCCAAGGGTGGGGGAGACGCATCTACAGGACCCCTTGTAATAGGTGCTTTTTGGAATCTGCCCCAGTGAATGGAATGTGAAAGCCTAGGACATGCCCTGGGGAACTAAGCCTAGGAACCCTGTCCTGTTGTATTTAGTGGGTGGCCTTGTTTGCAGTGCTGTGTCTGGGGGAAGACATCACACTTGTCCACCAGCTGCAAGTTTTAATCTCCACAGAGAGCAGCAGGCTGGACTGCAGGCTGTGTGGCCTCCCAGCTGGGCTGTTTTGCCTGTGGACGCTGCTGGCAACAGCCTCTGTGGGCCCACGAATCAAGTTGTTGAAAAGTTGCTCCAAAATCGCCCATCATTCACATACAAATAGACTTAAAATCGCCACAAACTGGATCTTCTATTACAGTTTCTTTCTCTCTTACTGAGACACTAGGAAAGGTTTTCGTTGCTAAAACGATATATTTTTCCATTTACCACCCTCCACGGCCCCCTCATAAATCCTCGAGTTGAGGTCTTGTCAACAGCTGGTCTGTGCAGAATCTAAATTACACCTGGGACCACTTTGTCCTAGAGAACAGATCTTTTCAGCTGGGGGGGCGTCTTTGTTGTAACTTGGGTGATCACACCGTCACGCCTGGTTTTGGCATTTTTCATTGCTTTTATTTTTGTCTCTGATCCAAGATCAGAAGGCTCTGGGTGGCTTTTCAAGACTCAAATACGAAATAAGGAAAGGAACATAGGAGACACGTGTATGGGTGACATTGTAGCATCAGGAAATGTAGAAGCCTCTAGGTGACTATCTCACGTTTACAGATTTCTTACACTCTTTACGCATTTTACCCTGCTTTGGTGGAATGAAAGGCTGTGCCCCATGGACATCTAAGAACACAGAATAGTAGTGGACTCCATGGAATTTGCGACTCTTAGCTCAGCGGCTAGGGCGCCAGGCACATACACCAGAGCTGGCGAATCCAGCCCAGACCTACCAAACAACAATGACAACTAGAACCAAAAAATAGCCAGGCATTGTGGCCAGCACCTGTAGTCCCAGCTACTTGGGAGGCTGAGGCAAGAGAATCGCTTAAGCCCAAGAGTTTGACATTGTGGCCATGGGCTGTGACACCACGGGATTCTACTGAGGGTGATAAAGTGAGACTGTGTCTCAAAAAAGAAACAAAAATGTGACTTTTGTGAGAGGACGGGGCGGTGGCGGGGGACCACAGGAGTGTAACTCTGGCCTGTTTTTTGTTGATTTTCTCAGTGGCCGACCAGGCCTTTGTCACGCTAGCCACCAATGATATCTACTGCCAAGGGGCCCTGGTGTTGGGCCAGTCTCTGAGGAGCCACAGGCTGACCAGGAAGCTGGTGGTGCTCATCACACCTCAGGTGTCCATTGTCCTCAGGTAAGACTGGGGGGGGGTGACATCTGGGCCCCACTGCCACCTCCCCCAGGTAGAAGCAAAGTCACCTGTATTTTAGGAGGTTGGAGGAATTGTCCCAATGACAGACCATTCTTCCTTAACCAGCCTGCGTGGCTGGTCCCCACAGTGGCATCTGATGCTTGTAAAGTCCTTTTATATCATCATGATCACACGCAACTCTGTCAGAGTGTATAACCAGCTTTGAAACACATAAAGAAATAATATTGTGGCACCTGTAGTCCCAGTTACTCGGGAAGCTGAGGCAAGAGAATCACCTAAGCCTAAGAGCTGGAGGTTGCTGTGAGCTGTGATGCCACAGCACTCCACTGAGGGTGACATAGTGAGACTTTGTCTCTAAAAAAAAAAAGTAAATAATGGTTGTAAATGTTTATGAAACTATGCAAGTTTATAATAATCTGTAGGCAATATCCTTATTTCATAAAGGATGGGCAGAGAGAGACTCATATTAGCACATAAGTGGTATAAAAAAGTACAGATTATTGTGTTAATATATTTTTTTGTGACTATGAGAATTCACATGAGAGGCATTAGGGAGTAAAGTGTAGAATTCACATCTGAGATGCACCAGTAATGATCATTTGTGCATCAACCACTGTTACGTAAAGCATATTAAAAACATCTATTATAGGCTCAGTGCCTGTAGCACAGTGGTTACGGCACCAGCCACATACACTAGGGATGGTGGGTTCAAATAAAGCCCAGGCCTGCTAAACAACTATGACAACTGCAACCAAAAAATAGCCGGATGTTGTAGTGGGCAACTGTACTCCCAGCTACATGGGAACTGATGTAAGAGAATCACTTAAGCCCAAGAACTTGAGGTTGCTGTGAGCTGTGATGCCAAGGCACTCTACAGAGGGCAACATAGTGAGACTCTGTGTCAAAAAACAAAAAACATATATGCAGAGGGAATGACAGAAATAGAGATATGGTCTCATTTTATAATCTTCTTTGTCTTTAGAGCAAATACATAAACAAGTGTGTCTAATGGGCCTGGTGCCCGTAGTACAGTGCCAGCCACATACGCCAAGCCTGGCGGATTTGAATCCAAACTGGGCCAGCTAAACAATGACAGCCGCAATAAAAAAATAGCTGGGTGTTGTGGAGGGCACCTGTGGTCCCAGCTACTTGGGAAGCTGAGGCAAGAGAATCGCTTATGCCCAAGAATTTGAGGTTGCTGTGAGCTATGATGGCACAGCTCTCTACCAAGGGCGACATACTGAGACTCTGTCTCAAAAAGAAAAAAAAAACATAAATGTGCCTAATGGATAATTTATGAGGTGTCTCTTAAACGTTACACATTATGTAAACAATAATCTTTTCTCTCATCAGCCATAAACCACTTAGAAAAGAGTTGATTTTATACAAAGGAGACAGGGATGCATTTAATATGCTACTTGAAGCAAGAATTGAATGTCATATTCTTTAACCATGATACAATAAATCTAAACATTGATAGCAAAACTTAAAAGGGAACAAGCAAATTAAAAAAAGAAATAAAACAAGTGTCACGTCTGATATTTTTAACGAGAAGCACTCTCCTCCATAACTTGTTCAGGGAATAAATGTAAACTTGAATTATATCGTAGGGGGAATTGATTCATCACGGTCAATTTAACAGAATTTATATATAATCTGGAATAATCGTTACAGTGTGATTGCCACCTTTAAAACCGAGGCAGGCAGCTAACGTACTGTAAAGAAAAACTTAAATCAGCGAGGAAATTATCCAGTTCAAATATTTTTAAAATTAAAACAACCACAGGGCACAACTATAAGAAGGACTTGGCCTGACAGATGCAGTCAGAGTAACCTGGTTCTTTGTACCCTCAATGAATCCCCAACACTAAAAGTAAATAAATAAAATAAAAAGTGAATAAATTAATGAATTAAATTAGAAAACCAAAAAACATAGTGAGGAAAGCAAAAGGTAGGAAGAAATTCACAAACGTTAAATAAAAAACAGAACTACTAATTGGGAATAACAAATCCAAGTATTGGTGTTTTTTTTTCTTTAATAAACCTTCAATTAGAAAAAACATAATTGTACAAAATTGAAATTTAAAAAGTAGACATTTGGACACAATTTTATTTTATTTTATTTATTTTTTTGAGACAGAGTCTCACTATGTCGCCCTGGGTAGAGTGCTGTGGCATCACAGCTCACAGCAACCTACAACTCTTGGGCTTAAGTGATTCTCTTGCCTCAGCCTTCCAAGTAGCTGGGACCACAGGCACCCTCCACAATGCCCGGCTATTTTTTGGCTCTAGTTGTCATTGTTTGACAGGCCCGGGCCGGGTTCAAACCTGCCAGCTCTGGTGTATGTGGCTGGCACCTTAGCCACTGAGCTACGGGCACTGAGCCATGGTCACAATTTTAAAAGTAAATATTTCAGAGGAACCTTTTGCAAACAGTACGGGAAGTGTTGAAAAAATGCTCACTTGGTTCAGCGTCTGCAGAAATAGAAAACATTTGCTGGCTCATAATCACGGGACAAGTTCAGAATGTTTCCAAGGCCTCTTCTTGTAGAAGTAGCCATGTCTGGGCAATTTTAAGGGAAGTTTTGTTAAATTGAGAATGATGAGTTAATTCCAACGCTGCATAAACTAACTCAGAGCCTAGAAAATGACAGATGTGTTCACTTATTTTGAGAAACCGTCATCATCTTGAAAACTTGATTTATAAGTTGGATTGTGTTTTCCTAGGAATTTAAAAAGCCCCCAAATATAAAATAGTAATAAAATAAAACAGGTCTAGTTGTTCAGTCAAGTAGTAAATAGTGCTTAATCTAAAAAAGCACTAAAAAATGTATCTATGGGTGTAATTTATCACATTAATATGTCAGAGAAAAGAAGGATCCTTTTTCTGTAAAAATTAAACATATAACAAAATAGAATTCCAGATACATTATATTGTGAATCTCAAGGTACACACTTTAGGTTTAGAAATATCTTAGAAGAAAATGTTTCTCAATGCCTGCGCTGCTGACGTGTGGGGCTGGAGGACTCTGTGTGGGGGGTGGGGGGCGTCCTGTGCACCTGTGATGAGCCACATGCCGGGGCCCCTCCCATGAGAAGCCAGTAAGATTTACCCTCTCCGCAGTTGTGACAGCCCAAAATATCTGCAGACGACTGACCGAAAATATCTCCACAATATTTTATTCACCTGAAATCAGGAGATGCCATCTTAAATTAAGCAAAAAAAAAAAGGAGACAGAAACAGGTGTAGTTGAGAAATAGGATGTGTGGAAGGCAGACAAATTGAGGGACACGGAAATGTAAAGATCATGACTGAAGGACTCTTACAAACACCTGTGACATTTGCACGGGCTGACCTGCGGCATGTCAGAAGCAAACTCAATGGAGGGATGGACCAGTGGGTATCAGCCATGGACAAGCTACATTACATCGTAGCTTTCTCCAAAAAACTCAATCATGTCAGGACATGAGGAGCATTCTTAGGTGTGTTGATAGTCAGGTTGGGCTAGAGGAACTTTAGCATTTTTTAACATGTTACGGTGTGAGGAATTTTATGTAACAAATAGTCATAAAATGATTGCTCACAATAGCTCACGTCTGCAATCCGGGCACTCTGGAAGGCCAAGGCAGGTGGACAGCCTGAGCTCAGGAGTTTGACACCAGCATGAGCAAGAGCGAGACCCTGTCTCTACTAAAAATAGAAAAACTAGCCTGGCATCAGGCACCTGTAGTCCCAGCTGTTTGGGAGGCTGAGGCAGGAGGATCACTTGAGTTCAGGAGTTTGAGGCTGCTGTGACGATGATGCCTCTGCCCTCCAGTTTGAGCAAAAGAGCAAGACTTAGACTCTCAAAAAATGGTAATAATAATAATAATTACGAAACACAAGATATTTTATGTACCAGTAACAAATAGCACCACCCGAGTATAATGTACATCCTTACTTTTCCCTCAAAAATTTGGGTGAAATGTGCACCTCACACAGATCAAAAGATGGTAGATTTGGGTCCCAGGTTGGTGAGCAGGGAAGGCACGTCCTGGCCGGGGACTGGGCTGCCGAGTCCTCACTGCACGCCCGCCGCCTCCGTGTTGGGCACCCGTCTTTTCCAGGGCCATCCTCTCGAAGGTGTTTGACGAGGTGATCGAAGTGAATCTCCTGGACAGTGAGGACTACGTGCACCTGGCCTTTCTGAAGCGACCGGAGCTTGGGGTCACCCTCACCAAGCTGCACTGTTGGACCCTAACCCATTACAGCAAGTGTGTCTTTCTGGACGCAGACACTCTGGTGAGTGCAGGGGAGCTGTGTCGACTGGAC